TCAACTGTGATCTCTCTGAAAGTGGGTGGGGTGGCAAATTAATGGGACTCATATCAATTAACTAGAGTTTCCTGGTTGAAGGGGACCAGGGTGAATCTACACTGCAGAGTTGATGCAATTTGGCACAACTTTAACTGCATGGCTGAATGGAATGGAATTATGGGAGTTGCAGTTTGGTGAGGCACTAACACTCTGGCAAAAAAGGTTACAGACCTTGTAAAATTACAGTCAATGGTTTTATGGCAGTGTTTCTCAATCTGGGAGGGGGGTCGTGAGGGCGTGTCAGAGGGGTTGCCAAAGACCATCAGAAAACACAGTATTTTCTGTTGGTCATGGGGGTTCTGTGGGGGAAGTTTAGCCCAATTCTATCATTAGTGGGGTTCAGAACGCTCTTTGATTGTAGGTGAACTATAAATCCCAGGAATTACAAATCTCAAATGCCAAAGTCTATTTTCCCCAAAATTCACCAAAAACCCCAAAACGTTTGGGCATATTGAGTATTCATGACAAGTTTGGTCCAGATCCATCATTGTTTGAGTTCACAGTGCTCTCTAGATGTAGGTGAACTACAACTCCAAAACTCAAAGGTCAATGACCACTAAACCAATATTTTCTGTTTGTCATAGGAGTTTTGTGTGCCAAGTTTGGTTCAATTCCATCATTGGTGGAGTTCAAGATGCTCTTTGATTGTAGGTGAACTATACATCCCAGCAACTACAAGTGCCAAATGATAAAATCAATGCCCGCCCAACTCCACCAGTATTCAGATTTGGCCGTATCAGGTATTTGTGCCAAATTTGGTCCAGTGAATGAAAATACATCCAGCATATCAGATATTTACATTGCAATCCACAACAGAAACAAAATTACAGTTATGAAATAGCAACGAAAATAATTTTATGGTTGGGGGACAACATGAGGAACTGTATTCAGATCAGAATCCAAAATGACCTTAACAGATTAGAAAGCTGGGACAAAACTAACAGAATGAATTTCAACAAGGACAAAGGTAAGGTACTTCACTTAAGCACAAAAAAATGAAAAAAATACAGGATGGGTGATGTCTGACTTGACAACTGCCATATGACAAAGATCTTAGAGTCTTCCTGGACAACAAATTGAACATGAGCCAACAGTGTGATGCAGCAGCTAAAAAAAACCAATGGGATTTTAGGCTGCATCAAAAGAAGTATAGTGTCTAGATCAGTGGTTCTTAGCCTGTGGGTCCTGTTGTAGTAGAGCCTGTAAGTAATGTTGCAAGCAGTAGTATGGGCACCAGAAGGGGGAAAAGGGGTACTTGTGAGCAGGAGTCAGATGACGAACAACAAAGGAAAAGGATCTGGGATATACTTATGGCACCTACCAATGAGGATTCATTCGAGGGGTTCTCTGGAGACGAAGGTTCAATGAGTGAGGGAGAGGAAGGAGATACAATGGATGGGAATAGGGGAATTAAGAGCGTTACTCGAGAGCAAGAATCAGATGAAGAGTGACAGAGGAAGAGGATCTGGGATATACTTACTGCTCCCACAGATGAAGAATCATTTATGGGTTTCTCTGGGAGTGATGGGTTAGAGAGTGATGAAGATGGGGATGACACATTAGACTGGACTAAGGTGAAAGAGGTGCATTATCATTCTCATCAAACCAATGTTGATGTTTCTTAGTTTGTAATCCATTGATTTCAACTGCATTATACTGATGACATTCATGATGAGCTTCATGAGACAGACACCTCATTCTACTTACAAAGTAGCACCCTTGGGAAGGGAACCCTAAAGTATGGGGACACTTATCAAGTCTAATGAAGACTGAATATGCTCAGTTGCTGAGAAAGGCTGTCTGTCTGTTGTGGGCACAGAATGAAAAGGAAAGGGAGAGGGAGAAAAGAAATGGGGTGCTATGGAGTAGGACATGCCCAACAGACTGGAAAAGCGAACAATGGCATTCTTCACACAGTATTTTATTTGCTTTGTCAATGTTTGTAGATAACAAATGAAGCTTCTACAAAACACAAGAACAACTTCTAGGAGTCACTATGTCAGTCTACTGCAACACAGAAAGTCACCTTTAACACTAAGACTGTACTGTTGTGCATTATCTAGAAATAAATTGTACTGTTTTTGGTAAAACTTATAACTGAACAAACATGGTTAATATTTCATCATGACAGGTTTCTGAATAGATGTGTATATGTTTGCACTGTCTTAAATGGAATTCTATTGAAGCATTATGAAAAATCTATCAACCCAACAGGCAAGTAACGCTACACTGGAAGATTTATGATTCCATGAGTGAAAGGAGAAAAAAAAGAGCAGTGTGGAATAGCTGGTTTTATCCTTTTACCTAGTAGGGAACATCAACTGGCAAGCACAATTTCTGTTCTAACCTGATTAATAGACTCCTGTTGGGTTGTTTTTCCATGCCAAATTCACCTCTTCATTTTTGAATTGTGAAAGGAGAAATGATACATAACAAGAATGATGACCCGTTTAACTAACCTGGTGCTCTTCAAATATGCTTGACAAAAATTCCTAGTTAAGCTTTAATTTTACCACTTTGATACAAAGAAACCTATTGACTCAGACTAAGTTTATTTGGTCCAACATACTATTTCTAGCACTGAAGATCCAAAGAAATAAGACCAGCAACACAGACTACTCACAAAGCATTCTTTGGATTTAGTTTTATTGCCTTGGTTTCTACAGCTGAGATAGTAATGCAAAAGTTCCTGGTTTTCTAGTTAGTCCCTGCCTCCTTCTTGCCTATTCCAGCCTCACTTCCCCCTGCTCCCAGTCTCTTATCATAGTTTTTCCATGAGAAAGAGTTTTAGTCCTCCCGGATGCCAGCACTGTCCTCCACCGGAACCTCCTATTGGCCTCAAGATGTCACAGAGAAGATTTACGGTGAACTGCTTAACAGCAGAAATTGGCTCCTGATACCAGAAGATATAAAATTCTTGTTAGTCCTCAACAGTCCTGTTTAGATCTTACTGACTCAGGGCTATGGCTTCTTTGATTGAATCAATCCACCTGTAATGCACTTTCCTACTTTCAGTTTTTCCAAACATAATTTATTTTCTCAGCAAGAGACTTTATCTCATGAAATGTTAACAATAATAGCTCAGTTTAATAATCTTAGCTTCTTGTGAGAGTTTGGGTTTAATTTACTCTTGGATCCATTTATTTGTCTTTCTGGTCGCCATTAGTATCTGTAGAACTCTCCTCTAGCACAGCATTTTAAATGAATTGATTTTCTTCCTCTCTGTTCCGTTTAAAACTATATATAGAAAACGGAAAAATTGAGGATTCTGAGTTAGGTCTATAATGACATATCTTTACATTTCAGGAGCTCATGTAGGTCCTTCATAGAAGATCTTCCAAGTCTTTAGTCTTTCAAGTTCTTGTGGTTTTAGAAGAAAACTTACATTTAGAATCATAGAATCATAGAGTTGGAAGAGATCTCATGGGCCATCTAGTCTAACTCCTTGCCAAGAACAGGAAAATCGCATTCAAAGCACCCCCGACAGATGCTCATCCAGCCTCTGTTTAAAAACCTCCAAGGAAGGAGCCTCCACCACACTCCAGGGCAGAGAGTTCCACTGCTGAACAGTTTTCACAGTCAGGAAGTTCTTCCTAATGTTCAGCTGGAATCTACTTTCTTGTAGTTTAAAGCCATTGTTCCACATCCTAGTCTCTGTTAAATTTGATCCATTAAATTATGTAGATTGTGATACTTTATGGTTCTCTTTTTAACAAACGGATGTGCCACAAAATATGATTGTCCTGAACTCTAGCTTATTCCCTGGACAAGGAGCCATTGTCAGGTGACAAAATGGAGAAACAGAATCGCCTTGGCAGAAGTCCCATTTGTGGAGGTTACACAAAGCTGCATGTTATCACTCTGTTTAGTTTGTGGGTAGAACATATAATCCAGAAAATAATATTAGAGTAAGGAGGTATGGATGATGGGGGGAGAAACATCAACAAACCACTAAGTGAAAGGTGATATTTTTAGGACAAGAATTTAATCAGATAAAGTTAAATTCTTGCTACTGAAACTGCACTTTGTATTCTAAGCAGGCATGTAGCCGGGGGGTGGGGGGGGGGTGGGGGTGGGGGGCTTGAGGGGCTTCAGCCCCCCCCCCACGAGAAGGCCTTACTGGTACATTATTTAAACTGTTATGTTTATTTATATCATGATCTGATCACCATGCTCAATATATCCCATATGCATGGGGGTATTGGGGTAACAATACAAAAGGTTTGCTAGGGTAGACCCTCTTTCACTCAGACTCAGCCCCCCCCCCGAATCAAACTCAGCTCCCCCCGAAACAAAATCCTGGCTACAGGCCTGATTCTAAGTATTCTGACTCTACTGTTTACATTTAAAAAGTGCAATATATATTTAATCGAGTGATATTTTGCTTAGTCCTGCATTATGCATAAAATTACTATTTCAACAAAGCTTCCACTTTGTTGTTATTAGTACTGCATCATTCTCCCAGATAATGTTGTTCATGTTGTTGTTGTGTGTCTCCAAGTCATTTCTGACTTATGATGACTCTAAAGTTAAACTATTATAGGGTTTTCTTGGCAAAAATTGTTCAAAAGGGATTTCCCTTTTGCTTTTCTTTGAGGCTGAGAGAGTGTGACTTGGCCAAGATTATCCTGTAGGTTTCCATGGCTGAGCAGGGATTTGAACCCTGCCTTTCCAATCTGAGACTACAAAAAGAAAAATCTGCATTGTATCTTTATGTTTCAGGGAAGAGAGAATGCCAAATTCAATCATGCATATTTGTTATAAGAACTATATAACAATGCATACCAATTTATGAATTTTTGAAAATGAAACACAGCAAAAAGCTCTTACACATATTTTAAATGAGAGAAACATTTCATGATCTTACTTTTTCATGTAGTCTTAATGCGAGGTATGGCAGAAAAGTAATGAGACTGATTATCTTTTAACCATGAATTTTATTCTGTGTCCAAATCAAGGTTATCTCCTCCAAAGTAGTTCCCTTGGACAGCTACACAGCGACAGAGATATCATTTTCATTGTTTGTAGCAGTGCTGGAAGGCTTCTCCTGGACTGCATTTCAGCTCATCGGTTATACTCTTCGGGATATTATTCAAAGTCCCAAAATGGCACCCTTTCAAGTGGTTTTTGAGCTGGGGGAATAAGAAGTCACTGGAACAAAGATCTAGTGAATGGAGGGGGGTGGGGCCTGGAGAACCACAGGGATGCTTTTTTTCTGCAAAAAAAATAAATATTGAGACTGCTATGTGACATGGGATGTTGTCGTGCTGTAGCATCCAAGTGCATACAATGCCTGGTTGCACATGTGCCATCCTCTTCCTGAGCCTTTCAAGAACTTCCTAATAGTTTGATTGGCTCTTTGTTTTGGAAGCACAGACTCCTTGTGGACAACCCCCTGACTGTAAAAAAATGAAATGAGCATTGATTTGATTTTTAGTTTGCTCAGTCTTGCTTTCTTGGGATGGAGAGAGTTTGCAGTGTGTCACTCCCGACTTTGGCATTCAGTCTCTGGGTCATTCTCGAAAATTCACGATTCATCACCTGTGATCACACAATTGAAGAATCCTGGCTCCCTCTCAAGACGGTTCAGAAGTCCAACACATACATTCCTCCAATTGCCGTTCTGCTCAGTCGTGAGATTTTTTGGAACCACTCTGGTGCCCTCATTCTCAACATCAGTTGATGATCTGACATCAGAAGCATCCTCACTCTTTCCATATTGTTGTCTATTTATGAGAGTGAAGGTTTTCTGCCACAAGGTTTGTATTTCCATTTTCTTAGCCCTCTGAAAAGGCCTTCTGCCATTTGTAAACTTGTGGCTTGGATAGTGAATGTTCTCCATAAGCCCTTTGTAACTTTTCATAAGTCACAGTAGTGAATTTGCCAAGATTTAAACAACATTTGATAACATAACATTGCCCTAATTTTAGCTGATCTTCATAAATAGAGTACAACTTCACATCAGATGCTCTTAACAACTGCATAGCAACTGTAGCAAGCAGGCATGGTTAGGTTTGGTCAGAATCTTCATAATTCAAAATAAATTTGGAAAGATTTGCTTTTTGAAGTGATTTCGAAGTTTTTAAGGAAACCGGAAGTCCCTTTGCCCTTCCGAAGTTTTTTTCCTCCATTTCTGTTACGAAGCAGTGAGTCAGAAATTATTCAACATTTCCCCGCTTCTCTTCCCTGGCCTTGACTCAAGCCTGGGAAGCCGTGTTAAAGCAGAGTGGATGAATTTCCCCCACTCCTTTCCCCTTGCATTCTGCCTGCATCCTGGAAAGCTGTGTTAAAGCAGCCTGGATGAATTTCCCCCCTTCCTTTTCCTCCCCCTTCCCGAGTCAGTCTTAAGTGAGAGAAGCGGTTTTAACCAGCGTGGATGGGATGGATCCGCGTCAGTCTAAATCATTGTAGATGGATTCCTTTGCTTTCCTTTCCCTTCCGCATCAGTTTAAACCAGTGTGGATGGATTCCTTTCCTTTCCCTCCCGTGTCAGTTTAAACCAGTGTGGATGGGATGGATCCATGTCAGTTTAAACCAGTGTGGATGGATTCCTTTCCTTTCCTTTCCCTCCCATTTCAGTTTAAACCAGTGTGGATGGATTCCTTTCCTTTCCCTCCCGCGTTAGTTTAAACTAGCGTGGATGGATTCCTTTCCTTTCCCTGCGGTTTTAACCAGAGTGGATGGATTTCTTCCCTTTACTCCCCCCCCCCCTTTCTGGAATAAAAGAACTACTTTCAAAGTTAAGACCACCCAATGAAACAGGAAATAACACTTTGAATCCATTAATGAAAGATTCAGAAGTCTCTGAAGTTTCAAAAAGTTTAGAACATTTTTTCTGTGAAAATCGGAATTGACTTTAGATCCGAACCACCAGCGCCCCCTACATCCGAAACGAGTTTTGAACCATTTTTTAAAATCAAACAATCCTAGTAGCAAGTTGAAATTTGTACTGAGTTTATGGAAGGAGTTAATCTAACCACCATGTGAAGGGGGAGATAGGGTAGCAGTATTGTTAGTTTGTTCACAGCCTTGCCAGTCTTGTTATTTTTCTGCTGTGTCTTGTACATGGAATTTGCTTCTGAATAAACATGGATAGGATTAAAAGGACAGTATATGCTTTATAGTCACAATTTGATTCTTACGTGGTTGTGGTCTCAAAAAATGCTCAGCAACCCTTTAGTGTTTTTTTACTCTACAAATAAACCAAAAAAGCAGTTAAATACCACATGAACCAATATGATTATATTCTATACTCTTAATTCTCTGCTAGAGAGCTAAATTTTGTAGATTAGGGGGAGAACTAAGAATTATAAGTACCTCTGCCAAACCATAGATCCTGGTAGTTTGGCAGTTAAAGTAGTATCAAACTATAATTTTACAGTATGGACATATACTCAGAGTTGTAAATCCTTTTGTCTGAAATCTTAGTTTTCAGTTTTTTTAAATGTAGGTTATTTAAAAAAAGCCTGCCTCTCTTGTGAAAATGGTATGTGGACAGGGAATTCCCACTGTCAGTAGAAAAGTTTAGTAAATGTCCTTTTTCGAAACCATTCCACTGTACTAGTGACAAATGTACACTTATGTTGAATGTGTGAAAGATGTGTTCAAAAGATCCATAGATTTTCATTCATTGGCATCCATCTAAAGTATCCAATCCCTTTCCCTGTGCAGAGGCACATAAAGAGCAACAGCTCTGTTTCTTTTTCCTCACAGAAAAGAGTAGAGATTTCAGGAGAAGGTTTTATTTTTGTGTGGGGCAGTATGCAGCCTGTGTACCACAGGGTATTCATTCCTAGTCTAGCTACTATTCAAACATCTGTTAAAACTACAAACTAATACGTCTTTGATATTCATATGATATGGTGGACATCTCCTCCCCTGTCCCCTGTGTTTCATTGTAATACAAAACACCTCATTCATAGGTTTCGATGAAGCAAACCTTATTTACTTTACATTTATGAAGGGACTAATAGTTTTCCTGTGTCTCATTCACTTCTTTTGTCTTTCAGATGGCTCCCAAAAGACTTAAGAAGATGCTCTTTTTCACAATGGCTTTGGTCTCCATTGTTTTCTGTTTTCTTATCAAATTGAGTTCTGATGGCATTTGCATATTCTGTCAGAGAAAAAGTGAGGTTCCTTCCTTTAAGAGAGACACTGGAAATTTCCTTCAGCTGCCTCTTACAGATTGTAGTAGGAACCCCCCATTCCTGGTGATACTTGCAACTTCATCTCATACACAATCCAAAGCTCGGATGGCCATTCGTGAGACATGGGGCAAAGAAAAACTGATAGACAACAAACGTATTGTGACCTATTTTCTTCTGGGAACTACTTTGAATCACGATGACCAACATGCTGTTACAGCTGAGAGCCTAAAATATGGAGATATTATCCAGAAGGATTTTACAGATACTTACTACAACCTAACACGAAAGACTATGATGGGTATTGAATGGGTTCATAAATTCTGTCCACAGTCCAGCTTTGTGATGAAAACAGACTCTGATGTATTTGTGAATACTTACTATCTGACAGAACTCCTGCTAAAGAAAAACAGAAATACTAGATTCTTTACTGGCTTTTTAAAATTGAATGAGCGTCCAATACGGGAAACAATCAGCAAGTGGTATGTGAGCAAAGAAGAATATCCAGCAAACACATATCCTCCTTTTTGTTCAGGGACAGGTTATGTTTTCTCATCAGATGTTGCCAGTCAGGTGTATAACATTTCTGAAAATGTCCTTTTTGTTAAATTGGAGGATGTTTTCATAGGACTGTGCCTTGCTGAACTCAATATCAAACTTGAAGAACTTGACTCAAAGCAAACATTCTTCCCAGAAAGGCTCACCTTTTCACCCTGCTCCTTTAAGAAAATTGTGACAAGCCATTTTGTAAAACCTCATGAGTTGCTCATCTATTGGAATGCATTAGAGAGGTCAATGGATGAAAAGTGTCCAAGTAGTGATTATCATAGACCATCACCACCACACCGGTCTAAACACAGTACTCGAAATATGCGGAAAAACAGAAAAGTTTGAATAAAAAAAATCTTTGTTTTGTGGCATATATACACACACACATACATATATATAGTTCAGGGGTGTAGGCAGTACTATTTTGAGGAAGGTGGGTGATAAAAGTCTAATTCAATGGTTTTCAACTTGTGGGTCCCCAGGTGTCTTGGCCCACAATTCCCAGAAATCCCAGTCAGTTTGCCAGCTGTTAGAATTTATGGGAGTTAAATGCCAGAACATCTGGGGACCCACAGGTTGAGAACAACTGGTCTAATCCTTTGCACTTTTCCCTTAGAAATAAAGCTCATTGTTTTTAATGCGGCTTACTCACAGATAATATTGCACAACACTGCAATATTAAATGTCTGTTTCATTGCAACAGCTGTTTTGGGTTGAGAAACTAAACATTTCATTTTCTAAATTTGATATTACACAAGGCAGCAAGACTTCTCTTGTCAGGAGTAAGGCCAATACCAGGATGGCACCCAGTGTTCTTATAATGACATTTCTATAAGTACAGGGGTAAATATAATCTAAAATATCTATAACTATTGATTGGGTTGCAGTTTCAACTGCTCTGAATCAAGACTGTAGGTGGAGACAATGGTTAAGACTTTTATATTGTTTCTCAAACATCTGAGTTAAATGTGGAGCAAAAAGTTAATCATGATGGGCCAAATCCTATTGTTCATCCAGGCAGATAAAATCACATTCAATCAATGGGAACTTGGTAAATCAACATTTACACACAGCCATATAATCCAGAATAGCAAGGCAGATAATCCACATTATCTGGTATGAACTGGATTATCTGAGTCCACACTGCCATATAATCCAGTTCAAAGTGAATAATGTGGATTTTATATAGCTGTATGGAAGGGGTCTTAGAGCAGTGGTTCTCAACCTGTGGCTCCCCAGATGTTTTGCCATTCAACTCCCAGAAATCCTAACAGATGGTAAACTGGCTGGGAGTTTTAGACCAAAACACCTGGGGACTCACAGATTGAAGACCATTGCCTTAGAGCAGGCATCCTCAAACTGCGGCCCTCCAGCTATTTGGGCCTTCAGTTCCCAGAATTCCTGACAATTGAACAAGCTCATTAGGGCTTCCACGAGTTGGAGGCCAAACAGCTGGAAGGTCGCAGTTTGAGGATGCCTACCTTAGAGCATCAAAACCACATTCAAAGTGCCCTTCCACACAGCGATATAACCCAGAATATCAAGGCAGAAAATCCCACAATATTTGCTTTAAACTGAGTTATCTGAGTCCATGCTGCCATATATTCCAGTTTAAAACAGATAATGTGGGATCTTATTCAGCTGTGTGGAAGGGGCCAAAGTCTGGTGAATTGGCAGGGAAGTGAGGCAATCCTAGTGCCCTGCACTCTATCTCATCCACAGCTGATGCTTCCCTTTCCCATGTGACTCCGTGGTTTTCTACAAAACATGGGAAGCCTCCCTTGTGCCCTGCAGGAAATTGCCGTACATCATGTGATGGTGTCTGGTGGGCAGCGTGGAGGAAGTGTCCTGAAAGTGTTGTAGGACACTTAATTTGTCTCATGTGATGAGGTTCTTATGTGGCTCTTTGAACACCTTCATGCCTAGTCTCATCCACTTTTAGCCATGTGGGGGACATTTGTGGAAGGGGGCTTATTTGAAAGCATCTACATCGTCCATTCAGCATTCCTCATGTTCTGAAAAATTCCTTAAATATGCTACAGTATTTTTGAAGCCTGGAAATTTCCAGCTTGATTTTAGAAAAGTACTTTTATTGACACTGGGAGAGACATATTGAACCGAAGCACATACTGCTAATTGTAATACGAAGGTTTTAACAGGGGTAGAAATTATATGATTTTCCAGGCAGTTTCTTTCAGTCATTAACACCACAATTACTGTTGAAGAATGCCGGAAGGTGCTGTCCAACAACATCTGGAGGCCTGCATAATTTGTATTCTGGTCCAATGACACAAATCTCTGTAAATCCCAGTAAATTTATATTGTCTTATTCCCAAATGCATGTTTACAGGAATGCTTTCTAAAAATGTGTGTTAAACTCTCCTATTGAAATAAATAGGGATGTTTTTATTTAATAGACAGTAGCAACATTGAAATTATTATGAAAATATCAGATATATCACATATCTTTCGAAAATGAGGAAATTATGAAGGATAACTGTTAAAAGAACAAGTTGAACATTTGGATGGAAATAAGTACTGTATTTGTATCTTTTAGAACATCCAGTATGAAGGCGAAGAATGTTAAGATGATGTTCAGTTTAGGCTGGACCTAAATGCCATTTAATCCAAAATATTTTAGCTTGTACAAGTAATAAAAATGCATCAGAAAAGCCAATCTTTTAAAAAAAGATTTGTACTTTTGTAACCAGATAGCTTTCTTTAAAATCCAATGGGTCACATCTACAATCTGTCTAGTCCCAGTATCCTGTTTACAACAGTAACCAACCAGATGCTTATGGGAATGCTTAAAAGAAGCCATGATACCAATACAGGTTGAGCGTCCCTTAACCAGAAATCTTCCAAAACTGTCCATATGGGTGGCTGAGAGATTGTTTTCATGGTTCAATGTATGCAAACTTTGTTTCACACACAGAAGTATTGAAGTTAGTGAGTATAAAATTACCACCAGGCTATACTTATAAGTTGTAAATGAAACATAATTGGATTTTGTCTTTAGACTTGGGTCCTAGCTCCAAAATATCTCATTATGTATGTATATGTAAATACAGGTATTCCAAAAGGCCATTGGAATACCACACAGATTTTGTAAGCCCTGTACTGATCATATTTGCACTGATACAAATTATCTGTCCTCCAAAGTTAATTTCCATACGAAGAAATGATTTCATTTCTTTAGTTGCCTTTTGGTTATTTTTTTGGACATGCTATGACATTGTGATCTTCTTTAGGAATCATGTTTATGTTTCTGTTCTGAACATAGTTGCTTGTTTGAGTGGGAACTTTAAAAGTAGTGTGTTACATTGGGATGGTTCAAATACTCTGAATTATATCAAGTACTGTTTCTTGCTTCATTGTATTTAAAGGAACAAGATATTTATGACCTGTTCAATGTATTACTGATGTTTATGAGGAATGAATACCACCAGCAAAGAGATAATGTTGCACTTTCCTTTTTCTTTTTCTTATACTAGCCAAAAGATTGCTCTGGGACCTCAGGTCAGGTACATTAAGACATGATTTATTTATTTATTTATTTACCACATTTATATACCGCCTTTCTCAGCCTAAGGGCAACTCAGGGCAGTTTACAAATAGCACAATTCAATGCCCGCAATAACATAAAAACAATTAATACATTTAGCAACAATAACATTAGGTAAAATAATAAAATTGATAAAAGCATAAATGCTCAGCGTCTCATTACTAAAATCCTTATCCAATCGCATTGTCCAGTCGTTCTGGAGATCAGTTTGTCTGCTACACTGCATTTGGGAAAGCTTGCTCAAAAAGTCAGGTTTTAACTTTTTTACAAAATGTTAGGAGGGTGGGGGCTGATCTGATATCCCTAAGGAGGGAGTTCCATAGCCAAGGGGCCACCGCTGAGAAGGCCCTCTCCCTCATTCCTGCCAACCGAATTTGTGAAGAAGGCGGCACCAGATGATCTTAGGGACCAGGATGGTTCATAAGGAGCGATACGTTCGAACAGGTAAGCTGGGCCAAAACCGTTTAGGGCTTTATAGGCTAAAGCCAGCATTTTGAATTGTGCTCAGTAGCAGACTGGCAGCCAGTGGAGCTGGTGCAACAGAGGAGTTGTGTGCTCCCTGAGCTCCGCTCCTGTTTTTTTTTATAATAATTTTTATTGATTAATCACAATTGCTACATTTGTTATACATTTGTTATTACTGTTACATTTTATACAACACACTCTCTTTAACATGTTATTTATTGTTCTGCTTAAATATTTCCCCCCCCCTTTTTTTCACCACAGTGCTCCCCTCCACCCGTCTCAAGCCACAATTTTTACATATCATCTGTCCAAAATCTCATTTCTTCTTGTGACGGTAACTTTCCTTCCTTTTTTTTTAAACCAATTACCACGAATTTTTCCCATACAGCATCAAAGTCGCTTTGTTTCCATATACCTTTTTTAACCTTTAATATACGTGTCAGCTTATCATTTATTGCTAATTTCCATGCTTCCTTATACCACTCCTCTATTTGTATATTCATTTCTTTTTTCCAATTCCTTGCTATAAGCAATCTTGCTATTGTTAATAAATTTGTTATCGCTTCTTTATCCTCCTTTTTCAATTGCTTCTTATTATATAATGATAATAAAGCTATACTAGGACTTTTATCAATTTTAATAGTCATTATATCTTCTATTTCTCTAAATACCTTCTCCCAAAAGTTATTTACATATTTACATTGCCACCACATGTGTATATATGTTCCTGGTTCTTGACACCCTCTCCAACAATTTATTGAGTTATTTTTATTCATATATGCTATTCTTACTGGTGTCAAATACCACTTCCATGTTAACTTGTAATAATTTTCTTTAACCCGTATCGATAGATTTTTAAAATGTCTTTGTCCCCATAATTGTTACCACTCTGTTTCATTTATTTTTATCCCTAAATCTTCTTCCCAAATCTCCTTAAGGGTATTCTTTTTTATTTTTCCCTCATTCATTT